AATGAAGTTTATAGTCCTTGGCTTTAGTCCTCAGTCCTTCATATATGGAGTGAGGTGTGGATCTTGCCTGAGTTTTCTGCAGACAGTTTTCCAATTTTGCCAACACCATTTGTTAAAAAGGCTGTCATTTCCCCACTTGAATGGTTTCATCTCCTTGTCAAATATCAGTTGACCATAGGTAGATGGGCTGATTTCTGGATTCTCAATTCTATTTCATTGATCTATGTGTCTGTCATTGTACCAGTACCATGCTGTATTGACCACCACGGCAGTGTAATAGGATTTGAAATCAGGGAGTGAGATGCTTCTTACCTTGTTTCGCTTTTTAAGGAGTTCTTAGCTTATTCAGGGCCTTTTTCCATTCCAAATGAAATCAGAGATAGCCTTTTCCATCTTGTTAAAAGAATGGAATTGAACTGAACATGTAAATTGCCTTTGGTATTATTGTCATTTTCACAATATTGAGTCTTCCTATCCACGAGCAAGGTATATTCTTCCATTTCTCCTGGGCTCTTTTTGTTTCTTGTAGTAATGTTTTGTAATTTTCTTTGAATAGATCCTTTGTGCTTCTGGTTAGATTTACTCCCAAGTATTAACCATGTGATTAGCTATTGTGAAAGTTATTGTTTTTCTAAGCTCCAGTTCTATATTCTTTGTCACTGTAGAGAAATCCAATTGATTATTGTACGTTGATCTTGTATCCTGCCACTTTGCTGAACTGGTCAACTATGTCCACTAGTTTTTTTGCTAAGTCTTCAGGGATTTTTAAGTAAACTATCATATCCTCTGCAAAGAGAGATAATGTTACTTCCTCTTTGCCAATTTGGATACCTTTTATTTCGGTCTCTTGTTTTATTGCTATCACTCAGACTTCAAATACAATATTGAATAGGAGAGGTGATATTGGGCATCCTTGCCTAGTTCCTGTTCTCAAAGGGAATGCCTTTAATTTCTCTCTATTGAGAACAATGTTGGATCTCAGGTTTGCGTATACTTTTTACTATTTTGAACAAAGTCTCCTCTAATCCTATTTTGTTGAGTGTTTTAATCATGAAAGGGTGTTGGATTTTGTCTAAGGTATTTTCGGCATCAATTGAGAGGACCATAGGCTTCTTGTTCTTTGCTTTGTTAATGTGATGAATTACACTGATTGTTTTTCTTATGTTGAACCACTCTTGCATACCTGTTATGAATTCCACTTGGTCATGGTGAATTATTTTTTTGATGTATCATTGGATTCTACTGGCCAAAATTTTATTTATTATTTTTGCATCTATGTTCATGAGAGATAATGGCCTGTAGTTTTCTATTTTTGGTGGTGTCTTTACCTGGCTTTGGTATCAAGGGTATGTTTGCTTCATAGAATGAGTCTGGGAGAATTCCATCTTTTTCTATTTTCTGAAATAGTTTATGTAGAATTGGTGACAGTTCTTCTCTGAAGGTTCAGTAAAATCCACTTGTAAAACCATCTGGTCCAGGACTTTTTTGGCTGAAAGTTGTTTTATTATCTTTTTAATTTCTTCTTTTGTAAACGGTTTGTTCAGGTATTCAATTTTGGTTTGTGCCAGTTTAGGTAGGTTGTGAATTTCTAGGTACTTGTCCCTTTCCTTTAGGTTTTCATATTTGTTTGTAAACAGATTATCTGGGGAGCTGGGCTCTATGAGGAGAAATGCGGCATCAGGATTGGTGGAAGGAAGATTCATCAACAATCTTCGTTACGGAGATAACACAACCCTGCTTGCTAAAACTGAAGAGGACCTGAAGTGCTTGCTTCAGAATGTCAAGGACTACAGCCTTTCATATAGATCGAGGCTCAACATCAAGAAGACAAAGATTCTCACCACTGGACCAATTGGCAGCATCAGGATGGATGCTGAAAGGATCGAGATTGTTAACATCTTTAGTTTGCATGGCTCCACAGTCCACACTCTTGGCACCAGCAGCCAGGAAATTAAAAGACGTGCTGTGATGGGAAAGTCTGCTGTTAGGGACCTCTCCAGAGTACTGAAAAGCAATGGTGTCACTCTGGAAACTAAGGTGCACCTGATACAGGCCATGGTCTTTGCCATTACTTGCTATGTATCAGAGCTGCACAATGAGTAAGGAGGATAGGAGAATTGATGACTTTGAGCTGTGGTGCTGGAGAAGAGTATTGAATATACCATGAACTGCTAAAAAAATGAAGAGGTTCATCCTGGAAAGGGTAAAACCAGGCTGCTCCTTGGAGGCAAGGATTCTGAAGCTTCGTCTGACATACTCTGGACATGTTGCAAGGAGGGATGTCATGCTTGGGAGGGTAGATAGTACAGGAGAGAAAGACTCTTTATGAGGCGGATTGATTCAGTTACTGGAGTAATGGGGGTGGGTGTGTCAGAGACAGTGAAGCTAGCACAGGATAGAGCAGGGTTTAGGCCTGTTGTACATAGAGTTGCTATGAGTCACAGGCAACTCGACTTATAGCTTCAGGAACCCCATGGAATGGTCATGATGAGTTGGAACCAACTCAAAGGCAGTGAGGGTTTTTTTTTAAGTAATGTGATACAGTAGGACCCTGGTGGTGTCTTAGGTAGTATTGCACTGATAACGAGATCAGCAGTTTAAACTCACCAGCCACTCCAAGGCAGAAATATGAGTGGTTGTCTCCCATAGAATTTATAGTCTTGGAAATCGGATGAGGGACTTCTATTCTGGAGTCCTTATAAATTGGGAGACTTAAGAGCAGCAGACATGGTATTTTAATGTGATGCAGAAGAGCTTTGGTGACCTAGTGCCTATGTACTGCACTGCTAACCAAAAGGTCAGGAACCTGAATCCACCAGCTATTCCTCGGGATAAAGATGAGTAGTCTTCTCCCTTAAATATTTACAGCCTAGAAAACAAGATGGCAAGCTGCTATGAGTTGTCAATAACCGTGGATTTACCAGGAGGCAAGGAGCCCTCGTATGGTAGGTGTAGCAGTGGGATGCTAAATGAAAGGCCAACAATTTGAATGCACTATTTCCTCTGTAGGATAACGATGAGGAAACCTGCTCCCATAAATATTAAAGTCTTTATCGTATGGGGAATTCTACTCTGCCTTATATGATCACAATGAGTTGGAATCAACTCAAGAACATTGGGTTTAATTTGATTCACTCATGCATTAACTCAGAAGTATTTCTGCCAACATCCACTCCACACACACACAAAAAAACAGAACCTGAATTTGCTTAAGCCCCTTAAATCCAATTAGCAATTTATAGGAAATACATGAGTTACTTAAGAACTCATGTATTAAATAACATGAGGTTAAGGAACATATTCATCACCACCAGTGAGGTCATAATCAGTAAAATCTAGAACCTGGTAAATTCCATGTAACTCATAACCTAGCTCTTCCATTAACAATAAAGCAAAAGCAAAGAAAAAGAAGAAGCAGTCTTTAAGTTTAAAGGAACTTTTGTTTGGAAACTGATTGAAATAGATTGCCTAAAACATCTATGAGAGAATCAATGAGAATCTAATTTCTCATTGAATATATGATCATATTAAGGAGTTAGTGTCTTAAAACATATGATAATGATATTGCAGCTATATTTTGGTACTATTATTGCCTTGTTTCTTTTTAAGGAGTCTTTTTTGTGCAAGTCGTACACATTTTAAAAGAAAATAAAATAAAATCAGGAAAAACAAAACAAAAACCACCCCAAAACCAAGTCTTTCAAGTTGACCCCAACTCATAGAGAATTTTTTACTTTATGACAGAGAACTCTTCCAGACATTTCCAAGTCTGTAAATCTTCATGGAAGCATAATGCCTAATCTTTTTCCTGAGAAATGGTTGATGAGTTTAGCAGTCAAGAATTCTAACCATGGCACTATGAAGTCTATATCCTGACAAGTTTAGAAATGAGAATAAAATGATGTTATGACTAGGATTTTCTAGTAGTGGATTGTATAGAAGAAACAACAAAGATCAAATGCTGACAATAATTGAAAGGAGGTAATAGGTGAGGAAGGTTAATTACACTATATTTTGTACAATTATCTACGTTTAAAATGCACACGTAAACCTGAGTGAAACAGACTTTTTCAAATACTTACACAGGAATAGAATTTGCCTCTAGAATTAGAATATATATTTATTACTAAATCAGTTAGACAACAGGTTTTAAAATAAGCTCTATTATCTTTTAAGCTCATGCTTAAAAAGTTTTGCTTACCTCTACCAATTTAGAAGCTAAATACATGGAAATTGTTGTGCTTTTATAAAACATCATTGATATACCTGCCAAAAATCCTGAAACAACAAATAAGGCAAAACCAGATTAGATCTCAAAATATTTCTTTGATATTAAGTCATCTGGAACTGTTAATCAATCTTATAATTTCAACAGGAAAGGATCAATTTACAACACTGTCACTTATTAAAATACATGTACGCATCCTTATGATGGTAAAATGGGTGAGTTCATACTATTACATATTTCTAAATTGATCTTCAGAGCTAGTAACCAATGTACTGTAAGAAATTTTATATTAAAGTAAAAAAACAGCTGTTGTCTTATCAAATATAGTAACTTTAAAAATAATAACTGATGGCTAATGCTATCATTTCTGATATGCAATCAAAATTATCATTTATTCACCTCATATCCTAAAAAATAAAATTATTTTAGTGCAATCATTGTCATTTCTATCTATAGCACTATCTTCATTCTGTAAATGAAGAACCAAAGAAGGTTACTGTTAGGTGCTGTTAGGTGAGTACAAGCCACGGCGACCTGAGGAACAAGAGACCTGAACTATCCTGTGCAATCTTCACACTTTCTGACACACTCAAGCCCACTGTAGCAGTCATTATGTCGATCCAAAGATAATAGAGACAGAAAAATTAACAGTATTTAAAAGGAGTAATTTTAAAATATATACTTCTTTTGCCATTGATGAAAAATAGAATTATTAAAGAAATACAATTTCTATTAATAATTTATAATATTTTAAGTTACATGTTACTTTTGTGACACATTCCCTAAGCTTAGTTGTCAGGAAGTAAATGGCTAGTTCATTCATTCATCATTAAGGAGCTTCAATTTGCTGAACTTTTCAAACTGAATGTTTGGACTGGTACCTCAATAAAGGCTGCATTACTGAGACTGGGTTAATAAGAAAAATATTTCCCATTTATTCTTACTACTTATTAACAGAATAACAATTATTCATTTTGAATTAGTGCTTTACCAGCTACAATAGCATGCAGTTCATCATCCAGGTTTCTGATCCAACGTAGGAAGCAACTCGTGCCCTGCATTAAACAGAAAACACAGTATCACTTGTTTCGTATTTATAAAATGATTCATGAAGATAAATAACATTTGTAATACTCTAGTAATGGTGCTCTACAAGCTAATCTTGTGAGCAAATTGGTGATCTTATCTAAATCAAACTGAATACGTGACTGGAGAAATCACGACCCAAAATCTGTTATCAAGTTCTTCCTTGGTAGACTCTAATAGGAAATTATACAACACAGCAGACTTCCTGGAGGTCCATTTCGAAGATGAAATCTAGGAAGATGATGCTGTAAACAAACTATTGTTCCTACCTTCCCTAAATAAGAGCATAATATAACAGTGCTCAGCTTTGAGGAAGTGTGACCTAAAGAGTAAAGGAAAGTCACAAGGAACTGCAGACAGGTAAGAATCAACAATAGCAACATACAGTAGAAACAGTGCTTCACACACTATGCCTGCCCATTCCCCAGACACATGGGCCACAAGCTGCTGTGAATTAGGGTAGCTGCTTCAGAAAAAAGTCAACTTTGCTGACCACCATAGCCTCTGCCTGTACAAAGAGACAAGAACCCAAGCTACTGCCCTAAAACCAGCAAAGCAAACCTCCGTGGGGGTTTGACTGGAACATGTCCACAGGCAACATACTCCAGCAGGGGCTCTGATAGCAAAAAAAGTAGAGACTCCTCTTGGGGCCAGTGGGCCAGCACCTCCTTCAAACATTCTTGGCTGCAAGCTTACAAATCAAAATTATGCAGAAGGAATTTGCAGTGAAGCCTGATACCATACAGTTAGTAAACATTTTACCAGCTTCCTTCATACTCAAGAGCTCAGGCCTCTGAAATCAACAGAACAGATCACAGAAGCAGTTCAGGTCTGTATGCTTCTGTTTTCAGATGGAGCTAAAGGCTACTGGCTGAAATGGCTGTGCATTAATAAGTGCAATCTTCAGTGGAGGCTACACCCTCAGTCACTATACGATGACTATTTTTTTTAACACACTTAAAATGGTTTAAAAAGAGATTAATATTTTGTGACAATTGAAAATAATATAACATTGTAAATTCACTGTTACAAAGTTTTATTGGCATGAACAGCCATGTTCCTTCACTTGAGTACAGTACTGACTGTGAAATAGGATGTTAGGAGATTTGAACAATGTGCAACAACATGGCTTCAGAAATTCAAGATTCTGTTGAGAATTTATAAGTTCATTTTCCCTTCACTGTGGTTAAAAACTTATGAAATCTGAAATGGTTCAGTAATGGTTGTTAGGTGCCATCAAGTAGAGTCCGATCCATAATTTGACCTATGAACAAAAGATCCGAACCCTATCCTTTCCTGGGCCATCCTCACACTTCTGGCACACTCGAGCCCATTGTGGCAGTCACTGTGTCAATCTACCTGGTTGAAGGTCTTCCTCTCCTTAACAGATCTGCTGCCTTTTTGAACAACATGTCTCTCTCCTAAGTTCAGCCACTCCTAGCAACATGCCCAAAGTATGGGAGATGAATGAAGTTTTGTCATCTTTGCCTCCGAAGAGACTGGCTGCACTTTCTCCAAGACATATTTGTTGGTTCTTTTGGCAGTCTAGCACCACAGCTCAAAGGAGTAATTTCTTCTTCTGTCATCCTTATTCACGGTCCAGTGCTGAGATGCATAGCAAGTGACTGGAAAGACCGTGGCCTGAATTAGACACACCTTAGTCCTCAAACTGACATCATTACTCCTCAATAATTTAGAAAGGTCCCTAACTACAGACTTTCCCAGCATAGTATGTCTCCTGACTTTTTGACCACTGGTACCAAGGTTGTTAATTGTGGATCCAAGTAAGATGAACTTGACAGTTTCAATCTTTTCTCCAATATCAAAGATGTTGCCTATCAGTCCAGTGGTAAGAATTTTTGTTTTCTTGATATTGAGATGCAAACCATATTGAAGGCTGTATTCTTTTATCTTCTGCAGCAAGTGTTTAAAGTCCTCTTCACTTTCAGCAAGCAAGGTTATGCATCTGAATAACACAGGTTATTGATGAGTCTTCCTCTGATGTTGATGCTACAATCTTCTTCATAAAGTCCAGCTTCTCGAATTACTTGCTCATCATACAGACTGAATAGGTATGGAGAAAGAACACAAGGCTGACACACTCCCTTCTTAAATTTAAACCATGTAGTATTATTCCTTTGCTCTGTTAGTACAACAGCCTCCTGGTCCAACTTTGCATGAGCACAATTAGATGTTCTGGGATTCTCATTCTTCTTCTCAATTTAGCCTTAAGTTGTCATTATTCACAAAGTCAAATGCCTCTGCACAGTCAATAAAGCACAAATAGACATTTTTTTCTGGTATTCTTTACTTTCTGCCAGCATCCATCTGACATCTGCAATATCTCTGCTACCATGGCCTCTTCTAAATTCTCCTTGAACTTCTGGTAGTTCCCTATGTGCCTACTGTTCTAGCTGCTTTTGAGTGATCTTCAACAGTACTTTGCTTGCACGTGTTATTAATGATATTGTTCAACAGTTTCCACATTCTGTTGGATCACTTTTCTTGGGAATGGGAACCAACATGGACCTCATCCAATCCATTGGCCAGACAGCTGTCCTCCAAATTTCCTGGTATAGATTGGTGAGTGCATCCAAGACACTGTATCTCTTAACTGAATCCCATCATCCTGGAACCTTTTTTTTTTTTTTGGTCAATGCTTTCAATACAGCGTCAACTTCTTCCTTAATTACCATTGGCTGCTCCTGTGCATATGGTACTTCCTGAAATCTTCCAGGGTTTTTTGGTACAGTGACCCTGTCTATTCCTTCATCTTGTTTTGCTGCTCCCTTCATCATCCAATATTTTACTCATAGCACCTTTCAATACTGTGACTCGAGGCTTCAATTTGTTTTTCAATTCTCGCAGCTTGAGAAATGAAGAGCGAGAAATGCTGAAGAATAAAAATTTTTTTTCCAGTGTTAAAACCAACACAATCAAAACAGAGTTAAAGGTAAATTATGTGTTGTTTTTTGTTGTTGTTTTAAGGCAAGTAAATTTAGCATTTCTTATTCTTAAAATAAATTCTGAAATGTTTGCTTATGGATTATTTGAAACATTTCATTCTCAGGTTGTCTGTTCTCTAGCATTCAGTCCTTATCAGCACCGTTCCCCCATTTCAGTCAATATTTATTTGCCTCCTTAATACAAAATCATGACACTGAACTAAGGAAAACATAACTGGGTGAGAAAACCTCTTACAGGAAATATTCATACACTGCATTTCAAAGCTACCCGCATGCGCATGCATGATTTAAAAATAAAAGATTGTCCACGCTGCTGTTGTCAGTGACCTGCTGCTCCTAGGGGCTGTCCGCACTGACTCAGAGTGAGCCTTTGTCAAATCAAAACACAAGTCGGCCCACTCCTGAGCAATCCTCACAATCTCTGCTTTGCTCAAGCTCACCGGTCTAGTCACAGTGTCACTCCATCTCTGAGGGTCTTCTTCTTTCATTGACCCTCCACTTTCCCAAGGAGCTCTAGTGGCTTAATGGGTAGGAAGTTGCCTTTTCAATTCCCAGAAGGTGATTCAGATCCAGGCTGCTTTCAGGAGAAGAATGGCAAGTCTCTTCCCATGTAACTTACAGCCTCTGGAAACTCACTGATCAGTCACCTGTGAGTCAGTCCCAACCCAACACCTTATAGCGACTTTTCCAAGAACCCCACGAGCCCTTCCCGATACCATGAGGATCACCTGTGAGATGAAGTCTCACTATCCTGGCTTCTAAGGAGCACTCTGGTTTCACTTCTTCCAGGACAGATTTGTTTGTTCTTTTGGCTGTCTGTGATATAGTCAGTAATCTTTACCAGTATCACAATGCCAAGGCGTAGATTCTTCTTTAGTCTTCCTTATTTATTGTCCAACTTCTACATACATATAAAGCCAATGAAAACACCAAGGCGGGGTCAGGTGCACTTCTGTTTTTACACTCTTCCTGTTGCAGTTTCAGGTCACTTCAGACTCAGGGCAACGGCATACATATTAGAGAACAGAACTCAACATAGCGTTTTCTTGGCTGAAGTCTTAACCAAATATTGACAAAACTTAACAAGAAGCTTTCCTAGTTCGGTACCAGGTGATGGTTTTCCGCACTTGCAGTTCAAATGTTAATATCCAGTTTTCTTTTACTTAGTATTTGATGATTTATTGTTTTTATGCTTTTCCTTTTAACCTTTCTTCATTTCTAAAGTTGGCTTCCTTTAAATCACACAGGTTTTTTATTTTATCCAATTTGCTAATTTCTGTCTCTAAATTTGTGTATTGAGACTATTTTATTTTAATGGACTTAGTGATTTGTGGGCTTTGAAACTACTAGTCTAAAAAAAGTAAATAAAACTACTAGTCTGCTAACTATTTTTATTTGTTCCCTATTTCTCCTCCCTCACATTCCCCCCTAGCTTTCTTCTAGATTGTGTTCTATGATTCTCTCTCTATTATTTATTATTCTTTATCTCTCTCTTCCCATCGATCCCCCTTTTAATTTAAATTTACTGGTTTCTGTATTGTTTATAATAAACATGTTTATCACAACCCACAAGGAATCCTGGTGGTGTCATGTGTTATATATTGTGTTGTTAACCAAAAATTGGGTCATCCAAATCCACTAGCTGCTCTGAGAGAGAAAGAAAGGAAATATCTTTCCAGGGAGTAGGGGTCAGGGGTGGAGAAAGATTAACAGCTTTGGAAACTTTGATAGAACATCACTATGAGTCAGAACCAATTCAATGGCAGTGGGGTTGGGCTTTTTTGGTACATGTAAATAATATTTTATCATTTTAGGTATAATGTAAAAATCATGTAACACTATATTTGTATAGTACTTCTTTCTATCTTTGTGTTATTGTTACCATACATTTATATTTACTATTAAAAGTTCTACAATACATTATATGTATTATTCTTTTTATAATAATTATATAACTATATAAGAATTTTTATAATAATAATAATAATTATGACAAAAGGGCAGCCAACTTTTTCTACAAGGGAAAGTATTTTTAGCCTTTGCAGACTATGTGGTCCATGTGACAACTACTCAATTATACCACTGTAGCATGAAAACAGCTATGGATAATATACTCTACATAATGTTCACTATCTTAATAAAGTTATATCAGAGTTGAATAATCCTGATTGTAGAACAAGACATAGTGAACATACTAGAGTCCCACATACATATGTGCCTTATGTCTGTCTTTAGTATAGAAAGTGATTGAGTGCACTGCCAGGTATATAATGATACAGTGTATAGAAACATACACATATATCCTATAATACATGTCTTGATAATAACAATTAACATCTGTGTTACTGGATTATATATGTACAATGATGTACTTCTTCTATCTCAAATGCTTAACATTTAACAATGTATATACTTTGACTATAGGCAGCAGCATCGGTGTGTAGTGAGTGTTTCTCAGTACACTGTAGTATTTTCTTTAGCTCTCATTTCTTTTAAAAAATATCACTATGAACTTCATCATGGCTCCCAAATGAGGCAAAGCCAGTACTAGTGATAGCTGCAGTAAAAGGCAAAGGCGAAGTATTGATTATGAAAGCAAACAAAAGGTTATCGAACAACAAAAAAGTGGAAAGTCAGCAAACATTATTGCTCAAAATTTGGGCAAACAGTACTTAACATTAAGTACAAATCTCAAAAGGAAAGGGAAAAAATTCAAGCTGAGTGATGACACATTGTTGGGAAAACAACTGACATGAAACAAAATGCATAGGAATTGTTGAATGGAAAACCTTTTACCATGCAAACTTTCACCAATTCACAATCAAAAATCGAAAGAAACAAAAATTGAGCTTAAACACAACTTTTTAACTCATGAGTACTTTGACCAACAAAGAAATGCAAACATTATTATATAATAAAGGAAAAAGAAAGTGAACACAAACATGTAATTTTCAATAATATATTCTATTAGTACATGTATATTTTATATTTCAATAAAGTAAAGCTTCATAATCAAACCACACTGAAAATGCTAAGTTAGTACTAGTATTTCCTAACAAATGATTCACGCATTCACTCACTGATACCCTCCAGCAAGTTTCTGTGCTGTAAATCACAAGGACAGAGACTGCTCTTCTTTTACCCACTGAGCCACTAATGGATCTGAACCACCAAAGGGGCACTGCCTATGAGTTAGCAATGGAGGACCCTACGGGCTATGCCACCAGAGTGCTCTAAACAAATCACTAGTTATCTGTCACTTTTCTTCTTTTGATTCAATGTATTTTCTCCATGATTGTTTTTCATAAGTTAACTTAATAAAATGGCACATGATCATTTTAACTTGAATAATACCAGAATTCAATTTACCCAGCATTCACCTTTTTTCTTGTTGAACCAAAAATAAAAAAGGCATGTAGTTCAATCATATTAATATACATAAGTATTCAGAAACTATGTTTTAACTTTTGTATAAATGTGTTAAGTTATGATTCCTATTAAACAGGACATTATATAAGAATTGCTGAACGTTGTGTAACAATAATCCCTACATATGGGCTTACATATATACCTCTATGCACATTTATAGGAACATAGAGAAAGAGGTGCTAATAGCTGAATGTTGTGGGAATTCTGAGTAGGGAGAGAAGAAAATGAAGTCATTATAGAATGACTTCAGAAGTTATAGGACACTTACAGAAGTCATAACTGAAAATTTTTATTGGCTTTAGCAATTTCTGCTACCAGTGAGAAGAGTCAAGAATACGTTTTTAATTAATAACCAGGCAGTAAATGTGATTAAGAGAAAAAGAAAGTGTGGACATAGTAATAACATTTGTAATATTATAAAATTAGAAATGACCTATTTTCTAAGTGTATTTAAAAAAACAAGTCTTTGAGAATCTTTAATATTGCATAAATGTAAATATGTCTACACAATCAAGGTTACTAAGAAACATTTTAAGAGAAGACATTTACTTCAACCTCAATTCTCAATATATTTGTGTCTATTTGGCAATGTTAAGCTATTTATGAATACTACAGAAAGAAGAGAACTCTGTTAGCCTAGAAGGAAGGAGTTGCACTGGCACCCCAAACACAGGCAGTTCTGATCCACCAGTTGCTCCAAGAGAGAAAGATGGGAAATCTTCTCAAATAAGATTACAGCCAGTGAAAACTGAGAGTTCTGAGTTGGTTCCAACTTGACAGCACAACACAACAATAGAAAGAAGCAGTAAAAAATTAATAGATGAGTTTAAGGCTATGTTTCATTTTACTACAGACATGTGGTATTTAACCCTCCTTTTTTCCCTATTCTGAAAATCTTACCTTGTATATACTAACAAAAGACCCAAGAAAAGCTCCAAGCTGGAAGTTTTCCTTATTATAGAAGAGAGAAAATAATCGGGAGGGCTTTGTAAACAGATGCCTAAATGCAGACGGGATTCGGAGACAGCACTGGATCAAGTACCCGACGCTGAACATTCTGATGAAGCCCTAGAGAGAAGTGGGAGGGAAAGTCCAATTTACAACTAAATTTTGAAGGATAAAATATAAATTATATCTCAAAATTAAAACACGACTCGGGAAAATTACTACAAGTTTATAGCACAGGCATTTTCAAAAGTAAATCTTAAAACCTCAAACAACAATTTTAAAACAATTACCTTAAAAATACGGATGAAATCTTGGAGTGAGTACACTTTCTTTGTTTTACAAAGACATAAAAGCCTCACAAGCACTGGCCAAGCTTGTCTATGGACCAAAATTCCATTTCCTGACATTCTGCTGACAATACTCAGGATTTAAAACTCCTAAACCACAAATGAATTTTAGAAACAAAGTACTGAAATTCCAAGGGGCAAAAAAGGTCGTTAACAAAACCAAATGCTTTTGGTAATTTTGACAGAAAACTGCTCATTAGAATTAAGATTGCTGCTGACAGAAAAATAATTTTATCATTTATTTAGAACTTTTGTACTAACTTTATAAAATAATAAGATTAAAAGAAACTGTCAGAAAAAGATATCTATTTGGTTTTGATTATTGTACCCAATTGTGTTGGGCTAATAAATAAATCACAAGGAATGATAACTTTGAGGTAAACTAAAAAAAACTTGAGAAGGTAAATTGCTATCTGCTGCCAACATTTCCCAGATTTCCCGCAACTGTTTACTGTTTAGAGTGCTAATGGGAGCTGTCTTGGAATAACAACTAATGTTGGCCAACTTTATTTCAACATTTATTAAAATAAATTATATATGTATTATCTATTATTTAGTGACATAAAATGAGAAAAAGCAAAACATTAAATGATAACATTTGATATATGCTTCAATCAGTATATTAGAATAATCTTCTTCCTCCTCCTCTCTTTCACCAGAATGGAAAAATGTCTATACTTTTTCTAGTAATTGCCTGCTAAAATCAGTTTTGTATTTCTAGGTAAATTGAATTATTAGGAATTAATTACTAATATATCTGATATTGCCTACTACTTGTTTAAAATATGGAAATTAAGTTTTCCAAGCAATTATTTTTAATGCTTATGTATTAGGTGAAACAACAGTGTCTTGGTGAGGATGGTTACGTCAAGATTCAGATCTTGATGAGGATGGCTACGTCAGGATTTAGATCTGCTGTTCACTGGGTTGCTATGAATCTTAATTGACAGCATCTAACAACAGTGTTTGTTAAAACAGCAAATGTTCATAATTTTATTGTGCTACTGATAATGTTAAAATGCCAGCCCAATGATTCAAGGATTTATAAATGTTTCATGCTGGTTTCCACTCGTATCTATCCATTCACTCTTTCAGGTATTTGCTGACCATTATGTATCAGCTATTAAACCAGATGAGGGAAAGAGGATACAAAGTTCTTATTTTCATCCTTACTATGGGAACAGGAAGTAAATAAGTTAAAAAAAAAAAAAACCCACCCCACAACTGATCCCACTACAGAAGACTTAAAGTGTAATGAATAAAACAATGAGGGTACTAGGGTGGACATCAGAGTCAATGGTTAGAGGAGGCTACCAAGAAAATTATCCCCTGCCCAAAAGAAAAATTTGACTAAATCAGACTACTCTTTTCTTCATTTTTCTTTTAAATGTTCTCTTGAATTTGAATTATGTTCAGCTACAAGAATAATTACTCTCCAAGGGCCTGCAGTGTTGAAGCTGCCAGCAATGAATGTTGCTTTTCTCCACCATCTTAAAAGTAGAGCAGGAAATCAGACTTCGAAGGAGTGCATTTAAAAAAAAATACTGTACAAATGAAAACTCCTCCACAGCTTTTATCCCTGGTCCTATTACTGGGAGTTCTGAGGGCAAGTGTTATCTTTGGTGAATCCCACCATCAACTCTTGGTGAGACACACTTTCACAAGCACAAACATGGGACAGTCTCTCCCTTCTAGAGAGAACATGAAGAGGCTGTCTCCTGGGGTTGTTGAATAACTGCTCTTTTCATCACTGATGGAATAGGGACCAAACACTGCAACAAAGCACATAAATTTTTGCCATCCATTTGCTGATGTATTCTTTCATTTGGGCTGACTCCATTAGCTAAACTGTAATCTCTACAGAAGCAAATTGTCAGGCCTGCAAGACTTTTAAAAGTACCATCTACATCAGACTAATAGCAATGACAGTATTGCCCTCCCAAAACTGACGGCAATGTGTGTGCCTTGTGTGAGAGAGTGCAAGTATGAGTGTGTGAGTCCAACAAGCAGGAGTAAATGTATTACTGCTCTGTATATTAAAGAAAACTGGAGCACAACAATCTCCCTCAACCTAGAGTAACTGTGGACAAGCTCCAGTTACCCTGATGCCCTGAGAAATGTAATAGCTTTACACGTCCCACGCCAAACACTGTGGTATCAGACGGTGGGCAGCGTATGTGCTTTTCTACTGAGTCAGTGTATTCCAGGGGTCTAGATGCAAACTGATGTTCTAATAAGAACATATGAGAAAATTGACTGACTCTTTTTCTGAGAGACACACACAGAGAAAGTGGGTGTGTGTTTGTGTGTGTGTGTGTGTGTGTGTGTACAATCATCTTGTCTTCTGCCTCAAAAGTTTCATTAAATAAGGTAATTTTAAAGTTATTTCACTAAGGCTCTAATAACAGAATACTGAAAGTTAAACTGCCACCCAATTCTCACAAATTTCTTACTCATCAAAGTCAAACACAATCATAGAAATTGCTGATGTCAACTCTTCCACGTCTTCTTTTGAAATTCTTTAATAAGAGATTTTTTTTCCTATATATTCCTTCTTGTTTAGAAAGTGAATACTTTCACATACTTACTTTAATGCAGTAAGAAATACAATTATCTTCATAGTGTTTGCAACATCTATGCCTTGGTCCATGTTTGCATCTGAAATGAAAGCAAGGGGGAAACCCAATTATAATTAAAATGTGTGTGTGCTTGTAGTTAGGCTCTGGGGGCCTAGTGGCAAGAAGCTGTGCTGCAATCCCTAAAACATGCCATTTGAGGCCACCAGATGTTCTAAGGGAGGACGGGCAATCTCTTCCTGTGTGATTAACCTACCTATGAAAATCCAGAGGGTCAGGTATGGGCCGGTTCCTGCTCTCTGGTACACAATAACAATAAACAAAAGAGGAAAAATGTAATTTCTAAATGTGTGTATCTATTCTTTTCTAAAAACAATTAGAGGGGAAGATAAAGAGGTACTTTTCTTTTTCTTTGTTGCTCCTCACTTAAGATAACTGCATAAAATCTATGAGCATGTAGTTAATACATTTGAAGGTGCGATGGAAAAAATCACACTTGGTATATCTGCCAATAAATACTAAATACACAAAATATATATATTATATATGGTAAGAATCAGAGAAATCCTGATTGCATGAGACTTAGAACATCACATCAGGGGCTGGTCAATGGGAGATGGGTGTTGAATGTTGTAAGCAAAAGTAGGAAGGGTTGGTGGTAGAGTAGGGAAAGGGTGGA